GGTTATGTCTCCTAGATGGACTGACCTACTACTACTACTAAAATTTAAAGTGATATGTAATCATAACATTTATTGTTTAGTGACTGAGCGGGCGAACCAGGCCAGAGACCATCTCCTGAAGAAAGACCTGACAGGTTTTGATGGGTAAGAGCTGTCAGCACCGCATTGCAAACACTTTGGTGTGAGAGCATAATGCCAGCTAAGCTCGCTGGGAGGTGCTTTTCCTAACAGAAACTCTTGTGTTTGTTTATAATAGTGTGGTGTGTGTGGGTGGGGATGGCATGTTCAGCGAAATACTTCACGGTTTGATTGGGCGGACACAACAAGAGGCAGGCCTTTGTGAGAACGATCCCGCTGTCACTTTACAGCCTTGTCCGCTTCATATTGGCATAATCCCTGCAGGTAATGACACTGTTAATAAGTATTAATGAACTGATGGAGCAATAACAGCAGACATGCACACACCCTGTTGTATTGTATCTGTTGTAGGTTCTACAGACTGTGTGTGTTATGCCACAGTGGGAGTGATCGACCCTGTTACTTCAGCTTTGCACATTATCGTTGGTGAGAAAAGACAATCTTTTAATCACAGTTTTTTTTATCAAGATATTAAAATACCTGAGCAATTTTATCAACTCTGAGCTCCACAGTTTACCTTATTTCCCACAATACCTTGCAGGAGACTCTCAACCTTTGGATGTGGGTTCAGTTCATCAAGCTTCTGCTCTGGTGCACTACTCAGTGTCTCTGTTGGGTTATGGCTTCTATGGTGATGTACTAGCTGAGAGTGAAAAACACCGTTGGATGGGACCTCTGCGATATGACTATTCAGGTAGGGACTGATGAGTCATGAACAGAAATGACTGCATGCTGTAATACCATAGATGCTGTTAGATTATCTGTATTTATTTTTAGCGTAAGTTAAAAATTCATTCTGAAACCATCATTCATAACGCTTTGACCAAGATGAAAGGACATCATGTGACGCATATGCTCTTTTTAAAATAAATGTATGTAACAAAGCAACATTTCCTTGCCCATGTACTTTTTTAAAATTTCATGTATACATCTAGTGTTGTGTATTTTCAGCTAACTTAATTGTGCTCCTTCGTCTAGGCACAATGGTGTACCTGAGCAACAGAAGTTATGCAGGCATAGTTCAGTATCTACCAGCAGACCCAGTGCTATCCAGCCCGAGAGACCGAACACGCTGCCTCTCAGGGTAAAACGCCAACTTTTGACAAGACATAAAAAGGGTGTATGCAATTAATAATAAACACAAAACATACCTCAAAAAAAGAAAGTAAATAGTATTACAATGTGCACACCAGATCTTGGTCTCATAAATATGTTAAATGTAAAAAATAACCACCATCTGGGAGCCTTACCTATTGTGCAGACTCTCGATTTTGTTCATGTTATTTGTCTAACACTTTGTATTTGAGGATCACTGTTCATTAATTTAGTCATCATGTTGGGTGACTGTGACCTAGCTATGCAAGGTGCAACAAACTAACCCTCCTATAAGAAGAAGAAAACATGGATAAAAGGTGGCAGTGTTGAAAGAAGATCATAGTAACATATAAACCTGTAGAAAGGTCTGTTATATTCTGGTGACTAATCTTACTCCCAGCCTTTCCGCCGGTGCTCATCCTTATCTAGGCTATCTAAGGATGAGGGTGCTTTTAAGCTCCCCTCTTAATGAGAAAGAGAGAAAGTGTTGCTGGTAGTAGCATCATTATTATTTGAGCACTAGTGAAATGGTTCAAATTCACTGATCGAGACACTGTAACTTCTACCTGCGGCAGGGGCTCAGGTTTTGGGTGCACTTTAAGGCGGGGTAGGAAGCACGTCAAGAGGAACTTGATCTTGATGAAAGGTGAGCCTTGGCCTCCTGATAGAGCGCACAAGGCCTTGTTCTTTGTCTGAGGCAGCTGCCTCTGGCTGTCAGCTAATAGTTCTTGATGCTCTTATGAATGGGTGTCAAGGTCGAGGAGCTTGTTATTTCACAGGCTTCCAGCCAGACTGAAAATTCTTTGTATTGTTTTGTGTGTGTGTGTGTGTGTGTGCGCATTTAGGTGCAGTGTGTGCTCCAGAAGCACAGAAAGACTTTTCCCCCACTCTTCAGATTCAGGCTCCCTGTACAGCTCCCACTACAGCCAATTCAGTAGTGACTCTGAGGGTAAATACACACACATTAAAGTCCTGTTGTTGTGTTTTGTATATTTTAGCCCATTTAGCAGCACACATCATGAATACTTTAAAGCATTCTTCCTCGCCAGGTTGCACAATATGATTCTTCCTTCCAAGATTGTTTTATTTAAATTATTAATAGAGGGCTGAAGGGGTGATATTATCCAGTACTTCACAAGAATGTGAGATGTGTAGCAAAAGTGAAAAAACTTACATTTGTTACAGAAATATGTTTTCTTTTGCTCTATTAATCATCTCAAGACCCCTCAGATTTGAATTTATCAAACAATTACAGCAAACCAAAGTTTGTCTGAGAAGTAAAGAACACACAACAGTGAGCAGTAAAGTATGCATGATGGGCTAAAGCATGCAAAGACACCAGTATGGTCCTTAAATAATCATCAGTGACGTACAGTAGGACGTTTTTGAATCCAGCATCATCTCTCTCTCTCTCTCTCTCTCTCTCTCTCTCTCTCATCTGTCCAGGTGAGTGGGTCACTGTGGAGGGCAGGTTCAGGTGTGTGTCTCTCACTTGTATGTCCAGCTCGTGTCCCAAGAGTCCTCTGGGCCTGTCTCCCTCTGCCCACCTGGCGGACGGAACAGGAGACCTCATCCTGGTATGGGACACTCACCCGTTGGGATTCCTCAAGTTCCTCTACAGGCACACAAGCACAGAGGACCAGGTGTGGGCACTTTCACATTAAAACCAAGCTGGAACTAGCGAGTTTAAACGCTGCTTGACGCAATCTCTCCTCCCACTTTCCTTAGTTTGATCTGCCGTTTGTGGAGGTCCACCGTGTGAAGGCTGTCCGTTTCTCTCTCCCTTCGAGCAAAGAGGAAGAACGGTATGAAGAGGTTGGGGGGATGAGTGGTGAGATAGATGAAGCAGAGAGAGGCTACGTCGAGACCGTCAGCAGGAATGGATCTCAGCAGCACCTAGCAGAGAGAGGCACAGGGCGAGATTTGACAAACGAACAGAAAACAACAACGCCCTTCCTGTGTGGTCTATGCTGCAGTAAAGCTCCTGCTGTGTCAGTGTGGAACTGTGACGGAGAGATTCTGCCTTTCACTGAGATCCTCTGCAGGTAAAAGAGTGCAAGAGAACTCCATGTGGTGTTTTGTGTATTCTCAAACCGCACTGTATTATACTCAATAAAGTATTTCTGATTCAGATTCTGATTCCTACTGTTATCATATGTCAAGTTCAAACAAAAAAAAGTGTACAGATAGCAACTTATTTCTCAGATGTGCAGTTTTAAATTGTGTTCACTCATTCTCTTAGGATTCATGGCCAGTTGGTGCGTCTGTATGCCAGAGGCATTGAGGATGGAGCAGCCGTACACAACTGCAGCGAGGAAAATGACCAGTTTGAAAGGACATCCTTCTCAAATGGTCTCGCCTAAATGTTGGATGATGAGAGAAAATGGGAATGTTTCTAGGGCCAAGGCTAATTTGTATATTTGAGAGAAAGGATAGCCAGCTTTGCAGTCTGTCTTGGCCAAAGAGTTCCTAATATTTCAGGTACTTTTACATTGAAATAATGAAAAAAACTATTTATTCTTGAATGAGTCTGTTTAATATTGCTCCTTAAAAAAACATTATTATAAAACTTGCTAAATGATACACTTATATGTAGTGCAGGTTTTTCTGCACAAAAACTTGTATACAGTGTTTGGTCTGCAAATTGTATTTATTTTCACTTTAGGCTACAGGGAATAAAGGTCAACAGAAGTTAAATTACATAAAACATGACTTGACTCCTTTTATGCTTTATTGCAGTCAACATTAGTTCAGTAGTGCAGCAGTGTAACTTTGCAGCTGAATAGCAGCAGCAACAGCTTTCTTTTTGTTTCACATAAACAATCATAAACCTTTTTTTTCCTACTGTGATCTAAACTAAAGAAAGCTTATGAGATTATAATATTTTAAAATATATCTTTACTATTTTTAGTGTCAACATAGTATCCCATACTAACAGACCATGATATTATAATTGCATACAGTAAATGTTGAGTAACACATGAAAGAACAAATACAATATGTTCCAAGAAGAGAAGTTCTTTAAACACACACAAGCACTTCCCCTGGCCCTCCGAGTATTGGCAGGATCACCAACAAATAGTCTGTTATTGGTCAGTGTGAGTGTCTGTGTGTGTGTGTGTGTGTGTGTGTGTGTGTGTGTGTGTGTGTGTGTGTGTGTGTGTGTGTGTGTGTGTGTGTGTGTGTGTGTGTGAGTGAGTGAGTGAGTGAGTGAGTGAGTGAGTGAGTGAGTGTGTGCGTTTGTTGATGGAAGGCCCCCAGCTAGACCAAGCACCTGGTAGAGACAGACATAGGTGACAACCAGACAATCAGTCTGCTGCAGGCAGTTAGAAGAAATCCAACAAATGTAAAAGTAAAATTAAGTTGTAATGTTGAAACTCGTTCATGCATTGAGAGAGATTAACTGTTACAAATGTTATTAACAATCATTTATAGGTTTTATTTGAATGTAGCTTAAAACACCTACTTGGAAGTCATTCTTACCTGAAACAGGGCATTCAAACTGGTGTCCTTTGTTATTAAGAAAGTGTTCTGTTCATACAAACCAGACCAACAAGCATTTCTAGTATAAATATTATGTGGTGTTGCTGCTTTGCATGCATCACGTTTAGTGTCATTGTGGTTTATTCATGACTGTAAACATAGGTCTGCTGACAGCAGAGAACAGGCTTCATGTGATTTTCTCGTTCAGCAAGTCTCATATGTCTTAAGGCCAGTGTTGTTAGGTGTGGCCAATGCTAGTAAAAGAAAAAAAAAATGGTCAGGCAGAAGAGTGAATGATGATTTATTTAGAAATGTATTAACTAAATTTCAGATTTACAGGTGAACACTCAAATCAAGCTACTACAGTCATTTTTATCTCCACATTCATTCTTGTATGATTAGGGATAAAAAGCAGTGGTGTTTTCTTTACATGCAGACAAAATCAGACAACGATACAGTAGTGAAAGATTGCAGTCAAATTTATTGTTTGTAAACTCGCCGACAGTGGTGTGTTCATGAGTTTTGTGAGTGTGTGGGCATGTGTGTGACAGAAGGCATCATGTTGTGTGGGGTTTCACCCACTTGTATGTTCCCTCATAGCGGAATCCAACCCTCTTCACGAGATCATCCGCCTCGTTTGGACCACGACTGTGGATGCAACAAAGAAAAGACAAGGGGAAGAGAAATTAAAAAGGACAACGTGCATCATGTTCTTATTCCTGTCTCATAAAACAGATGATTTTACCTTCCATATGTGTAAAGAATGGGGGGTGTCTTCTCTGCCTCTATTTGGTGGAGCAGTGGGGTGAAGATCTTCCAGGCCTCCCGTAACTCATCACTGGAACAGAAAGGCGAACAGTTCAGGTCATAAAATAGTACATTAAAACAAAATACCTAAACAGTGAACTATGACAGTAAAAGGTACAACCAACCTGCGGACAAAATGCATCTGATTTCCACAGAAGACATCCAGTATCAGCCTCTCATAAGCATCTGGGAGCTTCACATTCTAGAGGAAGATGAAAAAAACTATATATCTGCTTATTTCAGGTTCAGGGATCTTAATATGAAAATGGATGGTCTTCACTTGGATAAGATATGATGGATATCATAATATTTTATACAATTAATACGATAATATTTAACAATTAGGTGATGAAATTCAGATTGTTAAAAAACTGTCTTAAGCCTATTGAGCGCATCTTTACACCATCAATACCTCTGTAAGACACTGATTATCTATCAAATGTCACGTCAAATTCAATAGACGTTTAAGTGACATGATATTTTAAAGTATTTTGAAGTTGAGCTAATAACTAAGTGTGAATAAATAAAGTTTGACCAACTTATCTTAAGAATAAAGTGATACATTCTCAAAGGGATTTACGTTAACACACTGACAGTAGACAAAAAATATTCTAATACTGAAAGTTGGACCTGAAACCACAATGGATACCTTGTATCTGCTCCTGTAGGTGAGGTCCAGCTCAGTCTCCTCTGGGCTGAAGTAAACCCCAGGCCTCTTGGTCATCATCTTCAGATAAATTGCTTCGTCTGGCTGCACCCGCACCACCAGCTCGTTCCTCTGACAGCATTCATTAAAGATGTCTCCTGGCACGTCAGTGAACTGCAGACGCACTTCTGCCTTCTGCTCATTCAAAGCTTTACCACAGCGGAGAATGAAAGGAACTCCTGGTGGACGGGTGGATGATGTGAGGACAGACATGAAGGGAGAAAATCAGAGGGGACGTTTTAAAGTGAGGAAAAAAAGAAAGAAAGATGAAAATATGTTTTTCCTCACCATCCCATCTTTCATTCTGAACATAGAGCACCACGGTGGCAAATGTTGGTGTACAAGAGCCTTCTGGTACAGTGGGGTCGTCAAGGTAACCTAGCTTGGAGTGGCCTTCCCCGTCAGGGTCCCCCACGTACTGACCGAGCACCACATCTGACAGAGCAACAGGGGCGATGCACTTCAGTACCTTTACCTACAGCACATCAATAATTACAAGACAGCATGAATGCGATGACATTGACAGAATACATGCAGAATATGCACAAATGTCCTTCTCCAATCATTCATTCTTTGGTGTCACCTTCTCATCCCTCACATCAGCTGGGCTGGTGGAAGCAGGTTTCTCCATGGCAACCAAACAGAGCATCTGGAGGAGATGGTTCTGCATGACATCTCTACATCAACAAACAAGAACTGGAATCAGGGCAAGTAGTGGCTCCAGTGTAACAATAACAGTATATTCAGTGTTGTCACTTTTATTTGAGTGTACCCTCTCTCACCGAATAATACCAAAGTCATCGAAGTATCCTCCACGGCCCTGAGTGCCAAAGGGCTCCTTAAAGGTGAGGACCACACAGGCCACGCTGTTCCTGTTCCATATGGGTCCAAAGATGCGATTTCCAAACCTGAAAGTGGGAGAATAAAACACTGCTGAAATAACACCCTAGATACCAGCGAAAGAGGAAGAGAAGCGCTTGTGAAATCCAGAAGTCTTGTCTATGACATTTACGTTTATACCAGTGGTAAAGTGCTTGGAAAGGTGTGTATGGAACTTGTTACCTGAGCACCATCAGGTTCTGGACCATCTCTTTGCCAAGGTAGTGGTCTATGCGGTAGATCTGGTCCTCTGTGAACAGGGAGGAAAGGCGGGCCGACAGCTCCTGTGAGCTCTGGAGGTCACGGCCAAAGGGCTTCTCAACAATTACCCTGTTCCAGCCTCTGTGTTACAAACATAGCAGATTAGAATCATTTGATCAAAAAGCAAGTGAACTATTGTTTTTGTGGACTTGGAGTGTAACAAAGACTGACTTGAGGCTCATGCAGTGGGCTCTGATGTTTGTGCTAACATGGTGGTAGACGGTAGGTGGCAGAGCCAGGTAGAAGAGTCTGTTGGCGTCAGCTCCCCTCGGTAGAGATGACAGATGCGTGTTGAGTTGAGCAAAAGAGCTGCCATCATCGTACCTTCCTTTAAGGTAGGAGTTCCTATTGAAGAAGGCTGAGAGACTCTCACTCTCTTCTTCAGTGACCTGAGGGAAATGTTGAACAATGATTGCTGAAAACACACCTTAATCAATCTTGTCTTAGATAGCCATCAAGGAGCCTTTAGTTGAACTACCTTCATATGAGGCAGACATGCTGTCTTGATGTCCTCCACGGTCAGATTTGACCGGGCAAAACCCACAAAGTAGGTGTCGTCTGGGAGCAGGCCATCTCTGAATAACCACCTAAAGGAGGGGCAGAGTCAGTCAAAAGCAGTGAGGCAGAACAGCCAGGGGTCAAACTCCTCATAACACAAACTGACCAAACCACTTTAAAAGAACTCTGTCTGGGTTTGTAATTACTCACCATAAAGTTGGATAGATCTTCTTTTTTGCAAGATCCCCCTGTGCAAATAATACAAATAAAAAAAAGAGATCTGATCACGAACCTCTTATCATAATCTCTGTGGCTTAAAGGAGAATCAATCAGAGTCCAAAGAGCAGGTAAACTTTAAAAATAAGCAGTCAGTCACAGTGTGTAATGTGAGAGCTTTGAACACACCCTCTGCAGGACTTTGAGACTTCATTCAAACTTAAATAGAATACTAGCTTTGGCTAGAAAAGGAAAAACAAACAAGTACAACAGAGAAAAACAGATATTTTGCAACTTGTAGGCTCAACGTGACAAAATGTTCCCCTTCTTTCAGTGCTTGACAAAGGGAAAAGTAGATGCAGCACATTTCAGTCAACATGAGCTCATTCCCTGGCTTTGATATTCTGATTAGCACACCACAATATTACCCAGTGAATTGTACTCCTGTGAGGCTTTGTGTCAACTCTGTTGGGCTCCTGTCACTCTGGATAAACCTATTTTCTCTGCTTATAGTTTAATGCTAAAAGAAACTTATATGGACAAGCTGACTTACAAAGACAGTTTGTAGAACTACATGTAGACACTATTTAACATCCGAGACAGACTGAAAATTTCCACATATCACTGTTAAATTGTGTAAAAGGGAAATTGCAATATAGATTAGAGGAAAGTGTGGTTATTCACATCAAGAGTTCAGAGGTTGTACTCACAGAGGCTCCCAGGATTATGAATAGGTGTGTGTTAGAGTGACTGGACTGCTCCTCTCCATAAAGCTCCTTCCTGAGCTGTCCAAACACCTCAGCGCGAGTCAAAGGCTCAGAGCTCATCTTCTGGCCCTTCTGGTCTCAGTCTGTCCCTGCTGTGACCACTCTCATTTCCCTACGGCTACATGACACACACTATGGTGAAATTCCATTTGTCATCCTTGCCTTGCAGAAAAAGCTCAGTGAGTTAATGCTGCCACCTATTGTTGAAAAGAAATAATGCCTTGATGTCACTGCTTCCTCGCGCTTTGTGACGTTAATTACCTCTGCTCTCCAGCTCCTATAGTGTAGAAGGTTGGGTGTATAGGATGACTCCAGGCTTGAAATCAAGTCTGCACCAGATCAGGGTTGGCAACCTGGGAGAAATCCTGCCCCGCCACTTTAACTCACGCTACAGGTCTATTCTGACCAAGCTGAAAACAATAGGCAGGAATGTTTATTGCTCCTAAACCACTCCTTAAATAAATGTTGTGCAAACATTAACAGGTGCCTCTGACTGAGAAAGTCTTACAGCATTGCTGCACAGTTCTTATCAGTACATCACCTCTGGCAGTTTTCAGATTATAAAAATTAGTCATGAATCTTGTCTCCACGCAAACAACTTCTATAACCAAATCAATTCATATCGGTAGCATCTGCAACTGAAAGAGTCAAGTTAATTATTTTTCCAGGATACAGTACTCTTTTTTAATCAATACCATTCATGACTGGGCTGGAGCATAAAAGAAATTCATAGTACTAAGATTATACTACTATACGTACACAGTAGTATTATCAGGACAGATCAATCACTGAAACTGCAAAACAAACTGAAATGCTTTACAAATAATGCAAATGATAATTTATCTGACACGACAAAGTAGAATTTTTATTTAAAAAAACAGACATCTTTTACTCTAAACTTGTGCATATTGTCACAATCATTGTCAGAAAAAAAGTCACTAAATAGTGACTATCCAAGCAGGAGTGTACATTCATTAAATTAGGATCATTAAAACTGACAGCCGTTACCCCACAGTCAAGCAGCCACTCCTGAATGCAAAATCCACACTCTTTTAGATAATCCCCAACCACCTTCAAATGTCTTTCAGGAGTTCCCATCATAAATAAACGTAAAAACAAGTTAAAGTCAATCTGAACGTCTTCAACAGATGTGACTGTTTTCACTTTGTCCTCCATCTTTAACCGTCAACTCAGTATGGCCAAATGCCCCAGGCTCTGCAGCATGAAAGCTTGTTTGGATCAATGTTGAGTTGGCTCCTCGGACCGGAGTCTGATGAAGGGGACACAAGGTGCCAGAGATCACCTGATGGGCAGGCAGGGAGGTCAGCTGAAGGTCCAGTGCTGGTAGAGGTCAGCAGCATTACAGGGGTCCATCTGAATCTTGTCTCCTTTCAGCTGTAAACATTGCCCACTACTGGGATTCTTCAGAAGATTTTCCTGGAGAGTAGCATCATAGAAAGGGGGATAAATACAGAAGCCTAAATAAATTGGCTGTTATATATCAATATACAACAGGTAAGCAAAACTCCTCATGCACAGCCAGCAAGAGCCAGGTGCTCATAGGTCACAAGACTATGCAGTTATCAATATACAACACTTGAACTGTTCCTTTAACCATTCTATGATGAATAAATACAAGATTTTGGGAAATATGTTTTCTTGTTGATCTCTTTATCAAACTCTTGACAAAGAGATCAACAGCACTGTTAAGTCTGTCCGGCAAATATAAATACATACAATACATACAAAAAGTGTAAAAGCAACAAAATGTGGTTTCTATAGGAATTATTATGCATTGGAATATTTCTTTGCTGGCTGCGGTGACTTCTTGGAGTCTCTGCTCGTTACCCACTGTGCTCCAGTGTTGATGCTACGCTAAGCTAACCTTACCTTACCAGCAGCTAGTTGTAGACTTATCTTTAGTGGACACATATGATAGTGATATTAATTTCCTTAACCAACGCTCAGCAAAGTGAATAAGCAGATTTCAAGTGCACCTCACCTCTGTAAAGACCCACTCCTGTTGTGGTGGCAAACTGGTGCCCTTCCCCTTCCGCTGGCATAGCTCGATCTTCACTTGCTCCGACTGGGGTGCAGCATGAAGACACAGCTGCTTTCCAATGTTATGTCGCAGCTCCTTATGTGATGAGTATTCAAAGTACTAGAAGAGACAATCAACCAATCAGAGACCTAAATGTCCCACAAATGATCTTCAGTTCTTAATTGCACGTGTGAGTCAGAGTCATTGTACCTGGTTGCCTCCCATCTTGTGACACTGGTACATGATCAAAGGTTTACCTCCGTCGTTGTTCTCTCCAACATCAAGACAGGTTTTAGATCCTGAGTTTCTAATCTGGTGCAAACACGGACAGAAAATAACAATAAGATACAGCCGTAGTTATGCAACATGTGCTTTGTGTTATAGTGTTGATATCCACATACAGACAAAGGGAAACGAGACTCACTGCTCCGAATTTTTCTGGGGTCAAGTCTGGAATGAAGGCTTCTGGGTAGATTGTGTTTAAGTACCAGGTGAAGTTCTTGCAATGAAGCCTCTCTCTCAGATTAAGACGACCAGAGATGTCCCCATACTTATTCTATAACAGCAAGGGAGTGTATTTGAACCTCTGAGAAACAATCACTTACAATAACATGATCATATCAGCTTGTTGCAGCAGGGAGTATATATTCTAGTCAAAAATGTGGTGAAAGAAGGGTGATAAATGGTCTTTAATTCAAGTGCGTTCAACATTTGAGCACTGTTAACTCCTCATCAGGTCACACTGACCTCCTTGGCCATTACTGCAGCATTGTTGTTGCGGCGATAGTAGATCTTCTTGTAGTCGTCCATCCAGACCTCAGCTAGGCGCACCTCGTTGCGAGTGATGACCTCTGTGCCCTTGGGGAAGGTGTGGGGGCTCTTGGTGCGGAAGACATGGCCCACCACAGAACAAGGGATGATCTCTAGTTGACCCCCACACTGCCACACCTGTGAATCACATTTTACACCGTTACATTTAGACTCTAAACTTGATAAGGACAGGGAGACTTACTAAGTAATGAAGTAGAACTGTGGGAGTAAAGATAAAGGGACTGACCCTGAAAGACATCTCCACATTTTCACCGCCCCAGATCTCCATCTTGTCATCATATGTTCCAATGTGTTCAAAGTACTTCTTCGAGATTGAGAAGAGACCTCCAGCAAAAGTAGGCGTTCTGAAATTTTCATAGGCAGATACAAAAACTTTAGACACTTTAATGATTTAGGATGTTCACAGTGAAACCAGCATGAGCCTTCTTACTTTACAGGGTACGTTTCATCCTTGCGCAGCTTCCTCGCATCCTCTGGGATGGGCTCCCAGCCGAAGGTCAGGCTCCAGTCAAAGTTACCTCGGTTGAAAGCGCGGTTAGTGGCCACAGGTTTGTTGAACCGAAAGCTGTTGAGGTCAATGGTGGTGATCTCAGGACTAACCACAGCAGTGGGCTCCTCAACAATGCGGGCCAACAGGGGCTCTAGCCAACCATGGAAACACTCACCTAGATGGCAGAGAAAGGATCACTTTATTTATACTTCTGAACCTTTGCTTTGTGACTCAATTCAGGCACTCTCTAATACAGTTTCTGGTCAAAGACAAATGATTGTTTCAAGCATGTAATTAAACACTAATTTAATCGGCTAAAGGTTTTACTGAGAAGATGATTAAATACCATGTGAACAAAGTGTGAAATTGTCCCAAAACATGGATAAATAACAGATATAAACTATTAACAGAATTACAGGAAATATGAGGTGCTTTTTTACAGTACTATGTACATCTTAGTAAGGATGGAAAACATCACATTAACCCCCTAACCCCCGACCCAACAAGCTTCACACAGCTGCTTAAAGAGCCCACTGTGGCTTGTTTATTGTTTTGGTTGTGTGGTTAGGGTTAGTGTGTTTTCTTACAGTGTGCGTCAAGAAAGGTTAGCACTTCGCCCTGAGCAATACTGGCACCCAGCAGCCTGGCAGTGATGAGGCCCTTCCTCTCCAGCTGCCTCACTACACGGACAATCTTCAGTGGACGCACATATTCCTCCAGTTGCCTCTTCAGGTGCTCTGAGGAAATAAAAACATCATCTGTCATGTTATTTAAAAAAAAAAAAGAATAATAATTATCCAGCTGATGATCTTATCTTGGGTGAGAGTCAGTGGTTGACCCCTTGCTGCAATTATGTGTATGCAGGGTAAACTTTACATCACTGTTACAGATGCAACACAGACCACTTTGAACCACACCCAATAGTGATGCTTGTTGTGGTCAGAGGATGAACAGACTTCAAACAAACCAAAAGTGGTCAGTGAAGCAATTATTTTCAGCAGCTCGCTGCCCCAGAGAAGAAAAAGTCCATCATCATATTAACATAAGACCACTGGCAGAAGAAAGAGCAACAAAGTGGAAACATTGCTGGTAAAACTAGGCCACACTTCCGTTCTAAAAGGCATTCATGACTACAATGCATGCTGCACATTTGTCATAGGTTTCGGTCTAAGTAAATCCACCAACCACAGGTATGGTAGCAAATGTGCAAATACAGTTGAGGGTTACAGAACATTAGCTTATAAAATAAATAACTGACGCAATATTTCAAGCTCAGTCAGAAAGGTATTCATTGTTTATAATACTCAATGCGACGATACAAGTAGCAGTGAAAATGACTTCAATCACTTCAGTCATTTTTACACCTGCTTTTCTCTGCAGGGTTGGTCAGGTTAGTGTTATATTAAGTAGTATTTCTAATGACATCTGTGGTCAGCATTTATTTTCTTTAGGTCCAAGAACTGAAATGATATATTTTATTAATTATTTATATTTTAAATATTAGCTTAAAACACTGCAGTAAACCTGATTTTAGAATAGATTAGATTGAACATTATCGTCGTAGTACACAGTATGTACAGTACATGCAGTACATGCAGTTTGGAATCAGGGCAAACCATAGCAAAAATGCTTACTGATACATTTAAAGACAAACTAATACATAGAACAAACAATAGACCAATGGTGTAGTGATATTAGGCCTATAAGGTTGAAAAGCATGCTTATTTCACCCAGCTGAATTTTCCCTGTATTATAAAAAACAATTACAGACAACTCAATTATGTTGCTGCTGTACAATAATATGTGACAGTGTTTGCACGGTAAAATCATTGCATATCATTTGTTTGTGAAAGATTTTCCTATGCAAACATACAACAAGGCTGCACCTGTATATCACAGACAGGCTCCTTTAATCATAACTGTCCGTCACTTTTGCCAACTCTTACTGAGGTAGAGGTGCCCTTAGAGAGTCTGTTGTCAAGCTGGTGCTCACCACTGTA